CCCCAAAACCCCAAAACCCCAAAACCCCATTAGTGTGAAATCTGAAAAATTGTTATATTCTTGAGTTTTAAAAGTTAATGTATGAAACAGCTAATATATATATATTTTTCTATAAATTTTCTATCAAGCCTTTTTTAAGGTAGATAGTGCAACTGTGAAATTGTTCAAGTAGGTAGGGTCTTAGTTTTAAGATTGATTAGTACCTGTTAAGGAGCAATTTGACTGCATTTTCTTCATTGTATGAGATGATTTCATGTTGAAAGAGATCTACTAATTGAGCATTACATTGGACATTTAGCCTTGAGGAATCTTGTTTGATAGTCTCTTCTTGAAATTTGAATTCTATATAATAGTTTTCATCCGATTTTAGTTGTTGCTGCCATCCTCATCTTACAAGTTATTGTTTTTATCTTCATTGCTCCCTTTAAAATTAAAATTCACATTCGCTTTCACAGGTTTATTAACAAAGCTAGTGGCTTTCTTTTGATCTCCCTTAAATAATTAAGTGAATTTTTTAGAGAGTTTATCTAAATCTTGATCAACATCTACTTTGTTATCAAATGAAAACTTTTCTTTGATATCGTTATTTCTAGTCGTAGGGATCAGTGATAGCTAGAACTTTATAGATCCTTCCTCAAAACCTGAATTATCAGTGTTGATATGGTACTAAGTTTTGACTTAGTTCTTAAATTTTTACTAATGGGAGCCAATTGATCCAAAAAATCCAGAATCTTCAGAACTTTTTCTGTTGCCAGTAGCTGCGGTAGCCCCATATCCTTCTTAATCCTTGTTATCAAGGCTTATCATTGACTCTAACTCCTATAGATTGTTCTTTAGATTATTGTAGAATTCTTTTTGAATCTTTCCTCCTTTAGTTATCGATTTGCATTGCTTGTAAACATTCCCACCCTTTTTCAGGGATGAGCTCTTTTGTCTTACTTTTGGACTAAATTGCTAATAAACTTTATCCAAATTAATCTTCAAAGCGCTACCTGCAAAGCTTGAATTGGTTGATTCATAGTTGTTATTAAAGTTATTACTGCCAAATTTATTACTAGAAAGCCTCTGCAATGATTCATTATTTGTCTTAGATACGAATGGGGCAGGCTTCCAATCAGTTCGATATATTTGTGCATTTATCGAACTATCTTGCTTATGATGCATATAATTACTGTGTAAATTCAATTTGTCTGTTTAAGTCTTGTAAATCAAGCTATCATCAAAGCTTTCCTTTACAGGTGACTGCTATTTAATGCTGATTTATTACAGTGCTTTGTTGAAGTCTGTGTTTTCAATCATTTGCTCCTTATCTTTTTTGTTTGATTTTAAATCCTCAGCTCTTTAATCTAGAGTCCCTACAGTAATGGCATTTTAATTAAACGATCGAACCTATTGGTGCTTATTATCAGTGGGTGATAATTTAGCATCACCAACTTGTTATAGTTTCATACTTTCAAATAGTTAATCATTAGTTTGGCTGTATTTTCTGTTTCGAGTGGTATAATCTTCCTCGTACTGCTCCTCTTCTTCATCCACATTCTCAATATTCATATTTTCCTTGTACTCCTCTGATTCACTGTCCGATCTATATATCTCGTTTTCTAGATCGTCGATAGAAGTTTAAATTATCCCGCCAAATTAAGGCTCGTTTAGAAAGTTGTTTTGCTATTGCTCATCTTCCTATTCTTCTTGAATCACATTGCTGTCTAAGTGCACTATCTTGACTTTTGCCATCCTTCTCAAGTATTTAAAGCCATCAACATACTTCTTATTTTAGACTATTTAATTGTTTTGCTTGCTAGAACGAAGCAACGATTCCTTAATCTTAGACTTTTCTAAGGCCCACAGCTCCTCAGGCTTAATTTTATACTTGCTCTTAGTGTTACTCTGTTCTCTGCGGATTCGTTTGTTTGGAGAAGGCGTGCCAGTTTGCTCTGAAAATTTACCTCCAGAACCCATACTCTAAGAGCCGAGTCGATAAAATGATGGATTGCTAACTTTAAGGTTTTTAGTGGTTAATAATGAATTTTCATCTTCATTTATCTGACTTATTCTTCGAGATATTGGCTTATTATTGTCATCCTTCTTTAGTTTCTTGGCGATTGGAACCCTATTTTACGTTCTCTCATTTAAAATCTCTATGTGGTTATCATAAGTTCTTGGAGAACAAGAAGAGCCACTTTCTGATTTCAAAGAGTTAACAGAATGATCGAAAGATTCAGTTGGAGCTAAAGGTGATTAGTGCTGTGCATTTGAAGGTCTCTCATGTGGTGTATGTGAATGATTCTATTAATGGAAATTCAGCATGAGTTGAGTTCTCTCATGATTACTTACACACTAGAGCAAGTCGTCAACTGATTCTGCATAGAGATTCTAGCTTCTACCTCTCACTATTGAAATTCTCCTTTCTCTACTTATCAGGTGGCTCCTGAGTCCTAGCCTAATTGGGCTACTTTCTGAGCTTTCCTCATTAGTTCCCTGAATTTCGGGTTATTACAACTATTGCTGTTCGTCATCATATTCCTCGATAATTAGACCTTAATTTGACTAGTCTTAGTCCTCAGTGAAATCGTCATTTTGTTCGCTTTAATCTTCAAGTATATCGCTGCTTTACTGCAGCTACTGAAACTATGAAGGTTACAGCAGCAATGGAGGCTGATGATGAGTTATTTATAAGCCGCGTCTCATTTGATTGATTTCATTCATATCAGGCACCCTGTATTAATGAAACAAGAATGAACCTTGCTTCACCAACTGTAAGTGTTAGTCTCTCGAAGTTGTTAAGAATGAAAATCTCATGTTATCCCTGCATCGCTTTTATTCCTCAATTATGGCTTCCTTATTTTTGCCGAAATCAAATGGCAATAGTTCTCTCCCTATTTTTTCGAAATTACAATTGTGCTGCAGCTCTAGGTAAGATAATGATTAAGTAGCTAGCTATACCAATTCATCGAAAAAGAACAGTTCTAGTCTTAATTCAATGTGATCATTAAAAATTTAGTGTCTTCTTCTCATTTTTATATATCCAAAGTCCTATCAATCAAATAATTTATATAAAGTCAGAAGAGAATGATTTACTAGATTGTAAAATATTAATAATAACACAATCAATATACTATTTAATCGTACTTCGATAATTATGCTTGGTTCTCACTTACAATTAATACTAACTCTATTTAATTTTCAAACTTTTTAGATTCAAACTTCATATTAAATGAAGGGGTTTTGGGGTTTTGGGGTTTTGGGGTTTTGGGG